ATTATTAAGGCCCCTGTATTAGGAGGAATTGATATTTGGGGGGAGGGATTGCAGCTTGCGTTCACAGCTGGGCCTCTGGCTCTCCAGCACTACGGCAGAGGCGAGGCGGCTGTGACTGGCATCCTGCCACCACTGCGAAGATAAGGCTCGGAGGAAAGAGAGGGTTTAGGGTTTAGGGTTTATAAGGTTTAGGGTTTAGGGTTGCCAGAGTGCGGAAAAACCCGGAAAGTCCGTAAACCCTGAACCTTTAAGACCGCAAACCCTATAATCATCCGTAACCTTGGGGACTCAATGAACCCCAAAATCAAGTTTACTTCTTACTACCTCAAAAGAAATTTTCGTAGTATAGAGTATATGACCAGAAAAAATCGTCTTCATTTGGTCCCAGGGAAGCCTCAAACCCTCAAGTCTGCATCGCCTGAAAAAGGCGGACGCAGCGGATGCGGACAGACTCAGTCAGGGAGAGCGCCACCCATGAGACGCCTGGCTCACGGTTTTTCGGGTTTAGGCCCCTTGGGATGAGAGATTCCAGGATTGAGGGAGGTTTAGGGTTCAGGGTTTAGGGTTTAGGGTTCTCGGGTTTAGACCCTGGGGGATGAGGGATTCCAGGGTTGAGGGAGGTTAAGGGTGTAGGGTTTCGGGTTGAGGGCTTAGTTCTTGCCAGGCTTTAAGGTTGAAGTAGGGTTTGGGGGTTGAGAGCTTCAGCCTCTTCTGAGGATCAGGGCATGAATGAGTTGTTACCTCTAGAGGACGCCCTTGGAGGCCATTTCAAGTTGTGGTTCTCAGTTGCGGAAGGACGGCAGACCCGCAAGGAGGAGCGACTGACAACCCACCTTAGGGACCACTGGAACCAAAACATTGGGGTCATATACCCTACACGACTGTAATCCCGAGTAAGGCAATATGCACCGCAGGCCCGTTTTCGGGTTCATTGGGTCCCCAAGGAGTTTTTGCTAAGCTGTTATATGACCTTCCGCGCATCCACTACTTAGTAGTCCAGTAACCCCATATTCTAATGAGGGCACCCACCCTTTTTTGGTTGGCCTCTTTAAAACGGAAACCTTGAACCAACAAAGGGTAAAGAGTACCACTGGGCGACCAAGCCTACTACTCGGTACTTCCCAAAGCATCTTGCCTCACGAGGCGACAGCTCGACCAGTAAATCATGACACCCCCTCTGCAAGTCTTTCGCCGTAGGAGTTAGGGGTTTAGGACTGGTGTTGGGTTTAGGTTGCTTTTTTTGCCACCCAGGGTTTAGACTTTACGGTTTAGGGTTTAGGGTTGCATGTGAGCACGCCGGTTCTTCCCGAACTCGTTTCCGGAACCTCCCAAGCCTCATAAACGCCCTTCCAAGGTGGGCACCTCCCTCACAGGCCAAGCAGGAGTCTCTCCAACTGGTCTCCAGGCTACCTTTCACAGGACTACGATTTGCTTAAGAACCCCAAACAGACAAGGATCAGAATGCCTCTATTGCCCTTATAAAGAAGATCTTTTGGGTTGGCGTTCTTAAGCAAATAGTACATGAAATCGAAAATCAGAATCCCTAGGTCGCCCGCATAAGGAAGACCTTTTTGGGTTGGGGTTCTTAAGCAAAGAGTAGAGGAAAGGATCCCAGGGCTTCAGGATTAACAGTCGTCAACGAAGGGGCACCGCATGTGACAGCCTTTCAAGACATGGGCAGGTCGGTTTCACATGAGAACCCCCACCCTTGCTTCAAGTGCGCGGGTACACACCCTAAACCCTAAACCCTAAACCCTAAACCCTAAACCCTAAACCCTAAACTCTAAACCCTAAACCCTAAGGGCCGGCTGTTGGGATGTAAAACTGAAGCCACGAGGCTCCCCATACAAGGATTCAGGATTTCCGGGCGTGCATGGCCTCAGTTCGCAAACCCTAAACCCTAAACCCAAACCCTAAACCCTAAACCCTAAACCCTAAACCCTAAACCCTAAACCCTAAACCCTGAACCCCAAACCATAGGCCTAGGTTTTCAGTGGCCCGGGGAAACAAAGTACATACTCCTTGGGCTACCTGATATAGGGAACCCGGAACCCAAAATAGTAAAACCGGAAACTGCTGAACAGCCTCTTTAGGGTTTTTGGGTTTGAGGCCTACGAGAACCTTTAGCAGCCATGCCACAGCTCCTCACTAGCCTAGTAAACCTATTTAATGAGGGTACACGTTTTTGGTTGGCTGTGTTTATAAGGGAGCCCAGACACAACAAAGAGGCTACCCTAAAACCCCAAAACCCCAAAACCCTAAAACGCTAAAACCCTAAAACCCTAAAACCCTAAAACCTCAACACCCTAAACCCTAAACCCTAAAGGGTGCCACCGGGCCACCGAGGCTCTCAAAATCACGGAATGAACTCTTTCAGCCGGTTTCTGTAAGCCCGAAACCCCCCTGTTTCGTTACGTCCAGCGCCTCGCAAACGAGTGTTGCTCTACCCTTAAAGTTCTGAGACACCCTAAACCCTAAACCCCAAACCCTAAACCCTAAACCCTAAACCCCAAACCCTACAAAACCCAAAACTTGTAACATCCCGCAGGTCCATGTTGCCTCGAATCACCACAACGGCCAGCAACCTGCCCGAAACCCGAAACCCGAAACCCGAAACCCGAAACCCTAAACCCTAAACCCTAAACCCTAAACCCTAAACCCTAAACCCTAAACCCTAAACCCTAAACCCTAAACCCTAAACCCTAAACCCTCCCGGATCGCGCGCCATCGAATGCCAGGCTGGGAGGATGCCCCTCCTTCGGTGTGGGTTGGGATGTTCCGCTTTGTTTAGGGTTTAGGGTTTAGGGTTTAGGGTTTAGGGTTTAGGGTCCTTTTTCGGGATTCTGGTACCCCGATTATAATCCGGGTTAAGGGCTGTCAGTCTAAGGGGGAACATCCCAAGATGCAGGGTTTAGAGCGAGGGTGTTTTCGTCCACCCGCCAAGCACTTGTGTACACTGCTGGGACGGTTTAGGGTGTGGGGGGCATAGGTTCAAGGCTTCAAGAAAGAAGCTAGGTTTAGGGTTTAGGGTTTAGGTTTCGGGTTAGGAGAATCTCAGGAAGTGACAAAAGGGGAAGCTGGCAGAAAACATCGTGCAAGATATGAGGCTCACAGCCTGAGTTCTGAGAGGAAGGGCCCACGCTTGTCTGAGACATGCGGTGTCACATCTAGAAACTCCAATGGCGACGTAGACAAGAATGCAAGCTCCTGGTAACCCGAGGAGAACAAGTCGTGCTGGATGGTTTCGGACACGTCCGTGTCCAGGCAGTCGTTATCTCGTCGCAGTGGGGGGGCAGTCAAGTTTTACTCAGACAGAGTGATTGTGCACTAAAAGGGCCCGGGAAGGGAGTGTATCATAGAAGCCCCCAACCATGACCAGTGGTGCCAATGCCCCAGGCTCTGAGCAAGTGAGGACACACAAGCCCTCAGCGCGCACCTACAGCCCCATGCCTCGAGGAGAGAAACGCTTGCGATAAGCCCGCTTAACCCTCTTGTGATTGGCACATCTGCCTTTTCATACGTTGTTTTGAGATGGCATGTGCGATTATGATGAGACCGCTCTTGAAGCCTTGAATGCAGCCAGTTTTGCTTCTTAGAACTCGCAGAGCTTCAGCAACACTTGTGGACAGGATCTTCTGGCTTGGCTTACCCCAGCTATACAACGAAAACATGCACCATGTGCTCTGCAAACGATGCGTGATACTCGACACGACAAGCGTCAACACTACATCGACCCATCAAACCCAGCATGTTGGGATGTTCCCCCTTATGCGAACAGTCCTTCATAGGGATTATAGCAGGGGTTACTACAAACCCTACTAAGGTCTGTGAGTATAAGGGGAACATCCCAACCAGTATGCATTGTATGAATGTGCGTGTGTCTATGCCTTAGCCCTAAGCCCCCAACGTGCCTCCAGGCCCTCAACCCTACAGGCCTAGAGGCATCAACCATGACAAGCCACCCCCAGCCCTAAACCTAAAACCCTAAACCCCAAACCCTAAACCCAAAACCCTAAACCCTTTTTACGGCTAGGGCTGCTGCACTGCCTGCCTGGGACGAAAACCCTAGAACCCTAAATCCTAGACCCTAAACCCTAAACCCCCCCCACTGCTCCCTAAGGCTCCCTAAGCTTCCCTAAACCCGAAACCCTGCCGCGTGGCCTTCATGCAAGCTCAGCTCTTGAACGGTCCATCGCTCCGGTGGTCCCTGTCAGGCGGCTGACGTTCTTTGCTTCAGGTGGGGAGGGTTTAGGGTTTAGGGTTTAGTGTTTAGTGTTTAGGGTTTAGGGTTTAGGGTTTAGGGTTTAGGGTCTTGGAGGTTGCCTTGGCTTTGGCAAATTTCTGACGTAGTGCTTGTTGTTCTTCTTCTATATTTCTTGTTACCACTAGTATTGTTGTAACTATATAGCTCTAATGATGACAAGAGTATAATCATTCTCATAATTCATATTAAAGAACCGTGTGGTCTGAGTCACAGAAAGTGAACAGCACGGGCAGCACATGGAATTGTATCATTTTCTTGGGTTCTGCATATTCTATCTCCACAAAAATACCGCAGGATCCCTAAAAGGACGCTATTTGTATACCTCAACCTCCAGCTGAAAAAAAATCCGGGAGTACTTGCAAGTTCCTCTCCGAGCCTGGGCCGGTCTACATGGTGAGTTCTCTAGAACATCGTCCCTTTTTGGGGTGCCCTTAAGTTATCGGGGCCGCCTTGTGCTACAAACCCTAGAAGAGATTGCAGTTTAGAGCAGTAACTACATAGGGTTTCGGGTTTAAGGGATGGAGCAATTAGGTGAACGTCCAGGTGAACGTCATCCTGCGGCCATGCTGCAAATCGGCAGCGAAGTCCTTTTTGAATGCGGCTCATAGGCTGTCGGGTATTCTTCCCCTGTAGCACAATCACTAGAGCAAAGCACTGTGGCTTCGACTGAGGTCACACTGAAAGAGAGCGAAGAGCAAAATGCTCTGTCGTCATCTCCTCATCTATCTCTATCTCATTACGAACCATTTGACGCCTCCTTTTTCTTGTCCAAGACCTGAATGGACACGAAGTGTGGGTGGTGCACAGCCTCCGCAACCACCTTCTTGCTGCTCAGCTCGCTGTGCTCTAAGCGGTTCAGCTGTGTGATCCCCAGCTGGTTGGCAACCACCACCCTGCGTAGTGCTTTTGGCAAGTCATCGCCCCTCTCAGCTCCATCCTCTTTCAATGCTGCTTGAACCTTCTCTAGCAGTTGTGATGCTTCATGGAAGGATGACTGAGCCGCTGAGAGAACACTCCGCCGCTCAGCTGGATCCTCTGCCAGCACAGCAGATTGGTCAAAGTCATGGTAGGACGGTAGGTGCGGGAGGCGAAACGTCTCCAAGCACCGGAACCTCAACACGAAGCGTTGCGCAAGACCCGCACGCACCGACTGTGGACTCAGCAAGAGGTCTTCAGCCAAGCAATAGGCCAGCAACCGAAACAGGCCGCGCACCATGGATTGTATGGCCTCCAGCAGCAGAAGGCTGAAGGGTGGATTCTTGGGTCTATTGCCCTTACCTGACGCGTCCTTGGGTCTGACCGCTTTCTTCTTGGCTCCAGCGTTCTCTTTTGCAAAGAAGATCTCATTGAGATAGTAGATCCGGAGGCCACACAGATAGTCTACGTACCAATAGATCATGTGCAGCTCCGCTTCTTCGTAGATGTCCAGCTGAAAGCCAATCAACAACTTGGTGATCATTGCCTGCAAAGCATGATCCATGATGAACCCCCAGGTGGGCCTTGAGTATTTCAAGTTTGCACCGAAGGTCGCTTTCAATGTGTCGTCCAGGCGATAGGCGTCGTGCTGCAGCTCATTGAAATCTGGAAAGACATGAGCCAACCTACGAAAGCGCCGGGCGCGATTCAGATGCGTCAGCTTCAGCATGTGCAGGAACATGGACTCGCAGCGCTGGAGGAAAGGTTCCGCTTGCTTCTTGCAATGCTGCGCAGCTTCTGCTGGAAACAGATGGACTTCTAGAGACTCTTGCATGAGCTCTCTTACAAAACCCGATTCCGAGACGACGAGCTGCGCCACGGAACGACTGAGAACATTAGACTTCTCCTCCTTGATGACGCCATCAAGAAGGTCGCCCAAGGGCTTGGACAGCAAGGTGCAGGAGACACTCAGCTCATGAATGTGCTTCGCCCACATGCTGAAGACCACTTTTGGGTCCTCGATGGGCGTCACCTGCCGAGGAGGACCTCGCAGCTTGCGAAAATCAAGGACCCCTAATCTGAACCCCCAAAATAGGAAGATTCCCCTTGTAATATGGACCCAAAAAACTACCCCTAAAAAACCCTAAACCCTAATTACCCTAAACTCAAAACCCTCAGCTCGTAAACCCCCACCTGGCACCAGCAGCTTTCTGTTCATGGAGGCATCGAAACGCTTCTTCACAGCATCGCTGGGCGGCTGAGCCGAGTCTTGCATCTTCCTTGCAAGCTCGTATGATGAGGGTTTGGGGTTTAGGGTTTAGGGTTTAGGGTTTAGGGTTTAGGGTTACTGTATACGCGTGCCTAGAACCCAAAGCAAGGGGGCAAAAGTGTACCACTGTGCTACCGAGCTTCTGCAAGAGCTGTGTGCACTTGGCGAGGAGCCCCTTGGCACTTGACAACGTCGAAGGCTTGGGTTTCGCCAGCGCCACCAGTGCTGACATGTATCTGCCAATGAACCTTGGTCGCTCTGTAACCATATATTGCAGTATGGGCAGTCTTTTTTTTGGGTTGGTTACTTTATAAGGGAACCTTAAACCCTTAAACCAACAAAATGGGAAAAGGGCACCACTGGGCTGCCGATGAACTCCAGCCTACACGCAGTGGCTGCATCCTGTTTCTCGCGCTCGGCCTTGATTTTCTCATTGACCTTGGCGGAATCATTGCTGAAGACGCTGGACGCCTGGAAGTCCACATTGAACATGGTGGGCATGAAGTCCTCATCATCCCAAACCTGTGCTGAACTTGGCACCCTAGCAAAAATTACGATTTTAGCTGTTCCTTAGGGGTTATAGTAATCAAAAAATGAAACAATTATTTGCAAGCACCCCTGAGAAACCCCCGCGCTGCTCACTGCGTCTTTCGCATGCTGGCACGCAATAAGCAGGGCATCGACGAAGCTGCCCAAAGCCGGGAGTGGCTTCAGCAACCTTGGTTGCTGAGTTCATATGAGCCCCCCCAAAAAAGTGTAGGCTTTCAGTTTTTCTAGGGGTCAGAGTATCCCCAAAAAGTGTAGACTTTCAGTTGTTATAGGGTTTTTTTTTGGTATCCCAAAACGGCGTTAAAAAGGTACTCACTCAGCGGCTTCCGCAACCTTGGGGCATCTTGGAGATAGAGGCATGAGAAGCAGGTCTGCACAATCGTGTGGCCATCAAGCCACAGCCTTACTTCTCCAATCACCAAAGGAAGACCCTAAACCCTAAACCCTAAACCCTAAACCCTAAACCCTAAACCCTAAACCCTAAACCCTTCAAGCTTTACTGTTCCTGCATAGTAAGGACACCCAAGAAGCTTAAAGTTCGACTATTGGGTTTTTTGCAACAAAGTCTTAAGGAAACCCCCAAGAAAGGTTTAAAGTTCAACTATTGGCTAAGAAAGAAGCACAAGTAGTACTAGCAAAAAGAAACCCCAAAATAAGCTTATAAACTTCAACTCTTTTTTCTAAGAAACCAAAAAAAGCTTATAAAGTTCTCAACTCTTTTTTTTCTGAGTAAGAAGCAAGTAGTACATCAAAAAAAAGCTTCTAAAGTTCAACTTTTTTTTTCTGAGTAAGAAGCAAGTAGTACATCAAAAGCTGGTCCATGAGGCCCACCAGGAGTTGGGGCTCAACTTGGTCAGAGACCAGGCCCAGCTCCTCGGCCTTCTCGAGCGTCATGTCCTTAGGATTCCAGTGGCCCTACATACTCTTTTAGGGTTTAGGGTTTAGGGCTACTTGCCCAAGATAGGGAACCCAGAGGCCCAAAAATGAGAAACGCAAACTACTGAACAGCCTAGGATCCTCTTGGCTTTTGTAGCCCGTGTCCATCTTCGGGTCCATGATCTCAATGGCGGACATGGCGTCGTAGAGGCGGAAGTTGGGACTTTCCACCATCTCCTAAGGGTTTAGGGTTTGGGGTTTAAGGTTTAAGGTTTAGGGTTTAGGGTTTAGGGTTTAGGGTTTGCCCTAAAAACTGGGGTCATATGCCCTAACTACTAGTATTCTTATTAGGCATCTACACAGGTTTTAGGGTTTAGGGTTTGTTTTTGCCACCTGCCTAACCACAGGCTTTAGAGTTTAGGGTTTAGGGCTTGGGGATTGGGGTTTAGGGTTTAGGGTTTGCCTTAAAAGTGGGGGCATGTACTTTGACTACTAGACTTGCTATCAGGGTATATGAACCTAAACCCTTTAAGGCCTACTAGAATTCCCAGTAAGGTACTATGAACCCCTCAACCCTTCAAGGGTTCATTGCGTCCCCAGGGCTCCCCCAGACTCATGCCAGAGACGGCAAGCTCGCAGAGGGAGGTGATGTCGACCCAATCCTCATCCCTTGGCCGGTCATCCAGACTCACCTTAGCTTCTCAATTCTAAGGAGTGAGAAAGCTTAAGCTTTACTATACCTATGGAAGTAAGGAATCCCAACAAGTCTAGAAGTTCAACTGCTGGCGAAGTAAGTCACGAAGTTGTCTGGAGCAGGCCAGTAGTTGAGTTGAGGTTCTCCAGCCTCGTCCTCATCGATGACGAGACAGTCCTGTGCCGCTGCCGTCTTCTTTTTCTTCTTCCTCTTGTTCCTGAGTTGTGCTTTAGACGCGCTGAACATTATTTAGGATTCGATTCCCTTGTAAGGGAAGAAGGGAAACTAAAGATTTTCACAAAGCACAAGCCAGGTTCTTCTTCTTTTTCGGATCCGCTTCGCCCGTCTCTACCTCTTCCTCCTCATCCTCGGGCATTGCATGTCCGGGGGGGTTCTATGGCCTTCGAGTACCTGATGGCGCGTGAACACATATGCTGTTGAGCCAAAGGTAAAAAGACAGTGGCAACGTGCCTGCAGCACATCCCCTAAGCCCTGAACCCTACACCCTAAACCCTAAACTCCCCCTCTAAGGCACCATAAGCACACACACACAGAAAGGCTTAGCCCCAACTTCCCTGGGGACCCAATGACAGCTAAACTTGGAACATGTACCCTATACTACTCGACTTTCTATGAAAGGGTTTAGAGTTTAGGGTTTAGGGTTTAGGGTTAGGGTTTAGGGTTCGGGGTTTGGGGTTTAGGGTTTCGGGCTTAGGGTTTAGAGTTTCCGAACCATAAGCCCTTTCAGGGTTCACGTGGTCCCAAAGTCTGGCCCCAGAGTTCAGCCAAGCCCGTGGCGGACAAGGCCCTCAGACGCCACATTCGGTTGGGCCGGGGCCTCAGACGGGTTTAGGGTTTAGGGTGCAGGGTGTAGGAAACTTGACCCCCCAAACAAACATGTTCCCATAGAGGTAGATACCTAAACGCAAATCATGTACACGTTACATGTATAACTGGGGTGGGAACTTCAATATTCGGCGAGCCCGAGGATCCGGTCCAAGACTACTTTCCATTGAAGGAGGTTTTTGGGCTGAGGTTTCTAAACAGAGCTATATTTAGGGGGTCAGGTGAAAATAATACTAAATATTGGGGTGACATTTATAAGATTAGGCCGGCCAGCAGTCAAAAAAATTCTACTGCAGATTGAAGATTGCTTAACCCTAAACCCTAAACCCTAAACCCTATAACCGTGAAGTTTTTTTTCATCCGAGCTGGCCAGAAACAGCTCCAGAAGATTCGGCTCAGGCCCTTGGAGAAGCAGATCTCGATAGAGATTATTTAAAACCTTGGGGACGACATGAACCCTAAAAGGGCTTATGTTTCATATACCTTCATAGGATTTATAGTAGTCAGGGTAATTTTAGGGTTCATTTGGTCCCCAAGGAAAGTCCCTTCAGCTTGAGACTTCAGGCTTCGCGTCCTGGATTTCTGGAAGTCAACAGAGATCTCAAGCAGCGGCTGCCTTACGAAAATCCTTATCCGCCGGGGCTCGAAAACAACTCCGGAAAGGGCACCCCTGTTTGTTCTATAAGACATGCCGACTTTGTGCGAAATGCTGGGGCAGGAAAGTCATTCAAGCTTGCTGGGTACCTAAACCCTAAACCCTAAACCCTAAACCGACACATGCCCGCCGTCACGACATGAAGCAATCGCCGGGGAAGGATGTCAGGTCCGGGCAAGGAGTAGATTTCCAGTGCCTGAGCGAACGATCCTAGCTGGGTTGGCCTTTAAACCTCTGAAAGACACTTATAAATAGGGCCCCTTATAAACCCAAATAAGGAAAATAACATATGTCCCAAAAACCAACCTAGCTAGACGAGAAGGTTTGAGGTTCATGGCTCACCCATTAGCCTAGAAATTCCAACCCACGGCCCAGAAACCCAGATGCCCAAGGCCCCCAAATCCTTGCACAAACCCTCACACATGGTCGCATGGACGCACTTCTGAGAAGGGACTCAAATCGGAAAAGGGGAACCCTCTCAGGTGGCTCCAATCAGGATGTTAGTATATGTGGTTTGTTAGGGATTCGTGCTGTGGGAAAACGCCCTCCTAGCCCTTAAAGTTGTCATTTGGCGGGGGGCAAGGTACTTCACTAAATTCCCTGCGAAGAAGCTCGCAAGTTTATGGCCTTAGGTGCTTCAACAATGGAGCCGATGGCGCTTGACTGAGAAGGTTTTGGGCAAGGGTATCGGGTTCAGGGGGACTCGTTTGCTGCGCCTGTATGCCTTGAGACCACAGGAACTCCAAAAGGGCTGTTCCGAAACCTGAATAGGGATTACAGTAGTGGTAGGGTAAATGACCCCCCCCCATTTAGGGTTTAGGGTACATTTTGTCCTCAAGAGAAGAGCAGTTAATCGACTCTGGCGAAGGCGACTATGGTAGTCTTCATGTGCAGGATGTGTACGCTTGAGGGCAGGATGCAAACTTTTAGGAGTTTAGGGTTTATGCGGCATTGTCCCTGATTTCTGGGATGTATAATAGGGTTTAGGGTTTATAGGGTTTAGGGCTCGATGATTTCACAGGATCCATCCCTTGGCACCTTCTTGAGAAGTGGTTCCTAAGCGCACACGTCCCCCATCCACTGTACAGATAGCCCAGTTTTGGGCTAAATCCTCCAAAACCTCGTGAAAAGGGCCGATCCGAGGTACGTAAAGAGGGCTCCATTTCGGGTTTAAGGGTTTCAGCTGTCAGGCTTTAGGGGCTTGGAGCTTGTAACCCAGGAAGGCATTTGAGGTTCAGGAGAAGCCGCCGGCAAAGTCGCGAAAAATGGCAGCGGGACCAAGCGACTCACAAATTAACGTGAACCCTAAACCCTAAACCCTAAACCATAAACCCTATACAAATACATCGCCAAGCAGAGGTTCTCAGAATTCAGGAGCTCAACGTTGACTTGGAAACTTGAAGTTTGGAAATACAGCAGACTGGCTTGCGTTCGAGGGGCTGCCTAAGGTTTTCGATGGTTCCACAGAATAGCCCCTAGACCCTAAACCCTAAACCCTAAACCCAGAATTCTAAACCCTAAGCCCCTTGTATGCCACCCCGAGTACTGCACAGGAGCCACAGCAAAAGGAGGCCCCCTATGCTTTGAGGAACCGTCGTCTGCCTGATCTCGACGGTTTAGGGTTTAGGGTTTAGGGTTTAGGGTTTAGGGTCTCTTGGTCTAGCCTCGTGGCACACCATCTGCATCTGGATTGCGCAAACCCACAGAGGATCCAGGCGCCTCCCTACCCCCTAGTTAAACCCCAAAACCCTGAACCCTTCTGGACCCTTCTCTACTATTTGCTTAAGAACCGCCAAAAAACTAATAATCCCTACACTGCTCTTATAAGGAATAATATTTTTTCTAGTGTCTACTACATGGGCCCCATGGATCCACTGGGCAACCCAAAAAGTCTTAAAACCCATCCTTGGCTTCTCACAAGTCGTCAAAGCTGGCACCAGGCCGCTCTGCGGTGGGCGTTAAGGAGTACACTCCGCTCACCTCTGTCTCCTGCCAGCTTCGACACTAGGTTGGGGGGCAAAGAAAACCCTGTGACAAAATGTTCCTACAAAAAGGAGGAAACATCAAACATGCCGAGGGCCAACCCTGCACCCTAAACCCTACACCCTAGACCCTTTTTGCTGCCGGGCTGTTGCAGTAAGCCGGGGTAAGTTTCCCAGCATAGATATTCGACTTCCTGGGCAACACCCTTAAAAGCCTACCAAGGACCAGTTCCCTTCTTTGGGGGCTCCCACTTTGCACCCTCTCAACCCGACACCCTGACACAAGTAACTTAGGTTCTGACCCTACTCCCAGCACCCTGTCTAAAACCCCCAGCGGAAACCTAGGACCCCAAAAGCCCTAAGCCCGAGTTGTTGTTGCAAGGCAGCCCTTTTAGGGGGTGCCCTTAATTGCATCCCATGTTCCCATGTTGTTCAGGGGCACAGAATGCGAATGCCCAAAAAAGAGGGGTGGGGGACATGGCGATCAGGGAACAAAGGAAGAAGCTAATAAGGTGAGCATACGAGTTCGGAGTGGCCGATAAAATTTTGCGTTTGATTGGGTTTTTTGCCGCTTGGTTCGGGGGCTGGGTTCTGCAGAACCCAGCCCCCGAGCCAAGCGGCAAAAGACCCAATCAAGCGCAAAATCTCATCGGCCACGGCATATCAGAGACTCGTGAGCCTCAGATTCTGGCGTGCAATGGGATGAATTGCTCTGTGACTGATTGCCAGATTCTCTCCCGACCTTGCAGACAAGATGAATCCCAAAATCCGGATCCTATACCCCCGCGCGACTCTATGGACCATCAGCGCTTTTAGGGTTCATGTGTCCCCAGCCCCCCAAGCCTGAAACCCAAAGCCCTCACCCTTAAACCCTAAACCCTGAACCCTAAACCCTAAACCCTAAACCCCCCTTCCCCCTGGCCGCATCGAAGAGGGCGGAGCCAAAGGAGACGGCCTCCAAAATGAGCCGCCGCAGGCTATCCTGGGAAGAGGCCCTCAACCCTAAACCCGAAGACAGGGTTGAGGGGGCGGCGGACCGATACGCGGACTTATGTTGGCTAAGTAGAATGGAAATTTTGGGTACCTTGAATTTTATACGTAACTCTAATGGGGTTTATGGAAGGCTTTCTTCCGCCCAGGCTCCTGACTGCCTCTTAATCCAACTGTGGGTATTGCAGGAATCCACAACAGCAAAAATCGAAAGATCTGCTGAAGGGTGCAAACAGGGTCATAGCTGACGCTGATGGACTGGATCTTCCCCCTGGGCGCCGACAAGCAGTCTCCGTCACAATACCCCCCAACCCTAAAAATAAAAATACCCTAAACCCCAAAATTGCACCCTTATAGGGTCTGATAGCCCACCTTCTTTGAACATTTTATTCAACCCTTAAACCCTAAACCCTTAACCCCCGAGCACGCACTCAAACTCTAGCCCTTGGGGACTGCATGAACCCTAACAGGGTTTGTGGTTCATATACCTGAAAATAGGAAGTCTAGTAGTCAGGGTTTCTGACCCCAATTCTAGGGTTCACGTCGTTCCCATGGGCCAAACCCTAAACCCTAAACCCTAAACCCGAAAAAACCCTAAAACCCTAAACCCTAAACCCGAAAAAGCCCTAAAACCCTTGTGAGACGCCGCCCCAGTCGCGACATCACGGCCTTCTGGAGTCGCTCCGTAGCCTCCTCATCGTTGCGGGCACCCTGGAAACAGGAAGCACTGAGCAGTGTTTACAGGGTTTAGGGTTTAGGGTTCTTTAGGGTTTAGGGTTTAGGGTTTAGGGTTTAGGGTTCAGGGTTTAGGGTTAGTTTAGGGTCTAGGGGTTTAGGGGTCAGGGGTCAGGGTTTAAGGTTTAGGGTTTAGGGAACGGTGTCTTTGCTACAGCAAAGTAAAACTTCGGACACGGCGGAACCTTGAACAAGTACGGCTTCAGGGTTTAGGGTTTAGTTTCGGCATGGGTACAGCTGCGGTGGAGCTATACAAGAGAGCAGTGCAGGCAAGCCGCGCACCTTTTGTTGCAGCTGGGCTTCCCCTAAACCCTGCTTTTTGCAACTAAACCAGCCCTATACCCCTTTGAGCCCTTTTGCCAAACCCTAAACCCTAAACCCCATCTTCTCACTCCAAAGCCTCGACTGCTTTCATCAGTCGGCTTTTCAGTTCTCGGAGGTTGCCGAAGAGCGCCTGGAGAGCTTTGCAGCAGCTCTAGCTCAGCTCTGACTGTGCAAGGGTTTAGGGTTTAGGGTTTAGGGTTGAGGGTGTAGGGTTACAGGGTTACACAGGGTTACAGGGTTTAGGGTTACAGGGTCAAACAGATCATCAAACACCTTCCAGGGATTTCCAGGGTCGCCCAGGGCTCTGCGCAGACACTTACAGGGGTCACATGTGGCACTTGGGTCACTTGAAACTCACTTAATAAGTAATTGGGACACTCAACCCGCTTGGGTCGGGTCCATGCAGCCGAAGATCCCCGATTTGAATCTCCAGCGTGTACCGTGCTTCTGCCGAAGCAACTGTCCTGGACAGACTTGGTGCCGTGAACGAGCTCGGGATTACACTATCGGCCCAACCGTGATGTGACTGTGAGGTGTGGGGTTTGGAGCTTAGACTGTGCCACGTCAACTTGCTGGGCACCGTGAGGACAAAACTACCCCAAGAACATCAGATCAGACGTGCGTCCTACCGTGATCTAATCCCCAGTAGCATGTATTTATACATATAAATATAAACACATATATATATATATATAGATAAATGTATATATATATATATATGTATGTGTGTGTGTGTGCTTTTGTATATGTACATACATACATATGTATATATATATATATATGGATGGGCACTCAATCAGCCCTTACAGGGCAGACGGAGCCCCGAAGCCCGAAACCCGAAGACCAAGGGTAGGTGCCGCAGCCGGAGACTCTTGGGGCTTTCTGGGACCCGCGGGCCATTATGGGTTTAGGGTTTAGGGTTTAGGGAAAAAAGGCCCTTTGTAGGGGTGGTTAGGGGGATTCTAAGGCTACTTCGGAGTAGACCCTGAAAAAAAAGTATATACTTGTTAGTTATAAGTAGGCCAAAATAGGAACCCAGAACCAAAAACAAGTATTAAAGTATAGTACTCCAAAACCCGAAATAAGGCCAACAAATCTAAGGCCTAATAGCTCTAAACCCTAAACCCTAAACCCTAAACCCTAAACCCTAAACCCTAAACCCTAAACCCTAAACCTTAAACCCTAAACCCTAAACCCGGAAGGAAGCTCCTGATCTGCCGCAGCTCCGCAGGGCCAAAACGCTCGATGTAGTCCTGCGACCAGGCGCCGAAGTTTAGAAATCCCAAAAACTAATTACTTTTGGAGCCTTTAGGGTTTAGGGTTTAGGGTTTAGGGTTTAGGGTTTAGGGTTTAGGGTTTAGGGTGAAAGAAGACAACGCCAAACATGGAACCCTAGATATTGAACCCTCAAACCCTGTATGAGTCGCAGGAGGGCCTTCAAGGACACTTCCGACTGCGTCCCGCTTTGCCTTGGCAAGGCAAACTGTCGTCGAAGATGTTGCTATTCGCATTATACATAGATATATGTATGTGTATATATATATGTATATATACAACCCCAAGCCCTAAACCCTGAACTCGAAGCCCTAAACCCAGAGGTTACAAGGATGTGGGCCCAACTGGGCCTAACCCCTAAAGCCTCAACCCTAAACTCCTAAACTCCACTGAAGCGCTTTTGGGGGTTCCTGAAGGGGGTCGGCTGCACGTTGGCCTCAGCTCCGACCGGAGTCCTGCTGTTACAGTTGCTGTTACAAATGCTGTTACAGTTGCTGTTACTGTTGCTGTTCCTGTTACCGTTCTTGTTGCTGTTGCTGTCGTTGTTACTGTTGTTGTTGCTGCTACGGAGACTGGTCCTGTTGCTGTTACTGCTGCTGTCTACTGTTATTGTTGCTGTTCGTGTTCCCGTTCCCGTTCTCGTTTACTTTCCTGCTCCTGTTGCTGCTGCTGCCATTGTGTATGACGACTGCGTGATGATGATGATGATGATGATGATGATGATGATGATGATGATGATAATGATGATGCTGAAGATGATGAAGATGAGGATGATGAAGATGATGATGATGATGATGATGAAACCCTAAACCGTAAACCCCAAACCCTGAACCCTAAACCCTAGACCTTATGCCTTGCTCTGCAGCCCAGAAGGCACCCACTGGAGCTCCATCCACCGCGGAACAGGTCGCCGATGCTTTTTGCGGCCTCGCCGGCCTCGCGATGGGGACTGCGCGCCACGAGGGACCCAGTAGGGTTTAGGGTTTAGCGTTTGCAACCAGCCTAGCTGGAAGTTGTGTTCTTGCAGCCTGCCTCCTCCCTGGCTGACCAAGCTGGAGGGATTCTAGGGCGTAGGTTTCAAAGGGTTAGGGAGTTGGAGGCTTCATCAGGGTGTAACAAGGCTACTTTCGTGCCAAGGTTTTTGTTGGCTCAAGACCTCCCGCTGCAATCTACCTTTGTTTCGCCATCCAATCCCCCCCCCCCCCCCCCTCCCCCACAATCTCATCAGCTTGAATGACTCTGCCTCAACCCCCTAAACCCTAAACCCTAAACCCTAAACCCAGCCCCCGAAGCTCCCCTCCCCCCACCTTCGGGCTGGTCTTCTTCAGGGGGAACTTCTTTGGATCCCAATGACCTGATCGTGGGCTTCAGACATTTTAGGGTTTGAGGGTTCAGGGTGTCGGGTCTATTGAGGATGGATCAGGAGTGTAGTGGTGAGGGCCGCTTCAGGCGGTTGGGGAGGTCTTAAGGAAGGGAGATTCATGGGGGGGGGGGGGAGGAGGTACCTAGGGAACCTTAGGGAACCTTAGGGAACCTTAGGGAGCCTTGGGGGGCAGTGGGGAGTGTTAGGCAACCTCAGGTTACATGCTTTGCTTGAACCCCCCTACCCTTAAGAACCCGATAAGTTGAAGACAAGGCCCCGAGACTCGAGTTGATTCGGATTCGGGCGGTCCCGGGACTGGGTGTTCTCTGAGCTTAAAGTCTCCTTGGTACCTCAGGACGTTCTTTGGCAGCTACTCAGGTCATTTCGGTTCTGAATGGCTCTGAATCCGGAACCTCTGCTCGAAGCCCCTCCCTAAACCCTAAACCCCAAACCCCAAACCCTAAACCCCCCAATTAAGGGCTCGCAGTGGGTCCTGGAGTTGCTTCTCAGGGCATTGAAGCCATGAACTCCGAGGCACACCAGCTTGTCGAGCTGATAGCGAATATCGGCTTGCCGCAGGAAGTAGCCGAACAATGCAGACATGGCCTCGGACCCAATGACAAATCCGAGGAGGGTTACCCCTACATGTCCCCGCTGTCCTCGCGCGTCCTATCAGCCCCGAGCGCCTCCACCGTTCAAAAACCTTTTGGCCCGATGTATAATCCCCATGTCAGCCCTTTATAAACCACTAGAGGGGCCTTGCTTGTTCTCTCCCAAAAAACCGGGCCTATATAGGCCCTGATGGGACCCCAAACATGCCCGGTTTAGGGTTTAGGGTTTAGGGTTTCAAGAACCAGGCGGCGTAGACTTGGCTCGCCTGGTAGAGTGCAATCCGCAGCGTCGGGGCGTTGGGGCCTTGTGGCTGCGCCTGGCTCGGTGCTAAGGTGGCGCAAAGGGTCGCCATTTCGAGGTGTCTACATCTACCTTGGGGACATGAACCCTAAAAGGGTCGATGGATCATATAGCTGAGTAGGAGTTTCAGTAGTCAGAGGGTTCATTTCGTCCCGAAGGTAGTGGTCTGAATCGAACTCTATAGCAAACTGCCCGCCCCCCCCCCCTCCCCCCGGCGCCAAACCGCTTAGAAGCCCTGAGCCATGACAAAGTTATCTAGCAACCTGGGGTTTAGGGTTTAGGGTTTAGGGTTTAGGGTTTAGGCTTTAGGGTTTAAAAACCCTAAACTCCTAAACCCTAAACCCGAATCCTAAACCCTAAACCCTAAGCCCTCAACCCGAATAACTCCCCTGCAGCGGACTTGGGGAAGCTCTCAACACCCTAAGCCCGCCGAATGCTTTGACCAGTCGTCCGGCCGCCTGCACATCGACAATCTTGAAGAGATGATCTCTGACCATCTCCAACCTAGGTGTACTTTTGGGGTTTAGGGTTTAGGGTTTGGACCCAAGAGTGGCCCGGGAATTTAACAAGGGGTCCCCCTTTTTGGTTTACAGGGGGGGAGCAAGGGCCTCCAACCCTAAGGTGGGGGGGTTTGCGAGACTAGAGGGGGGTACCTTAGTAGTGGATTCTTCTGAAAAGGAGATCCCTACTATTTTGAGGTCAATTTTCGTAAGCCCTAGGTGTATTTCTAGACTCAAGAGTAACCTAGGAATGCCAGGGGGTACGCGTTTTTGTTTAAAGGGGGCGGAGAAGGGAACCTAAACCCGAAAGGGTGGTTTAAGGGTCTTCTCTACTAGATTTTTCATATCCTGCAGTGGGCATTCTACCGACTAAGGAAAAATGACCCCCCAAGCCCTTTTAGGGTTCATAATCGGTTCCCAAGGATGTAAGGAGGGTGGGGCTCGCACTCCCAGTACCCTAAACCCTAAACCCTAAAGCCCCGAAGTCCCTGAAGCCCGCAAGAACCTCCGAATGTCACAGGATGGGAGTCGTGGTTGAAAGGCCCGCGCCCGCCCTGAAGCGGCTCGTCGGGCCTGAAGTTGTATGGTCTCTGAGGCCATGGCGCTGTTTAGGTCAGAGTGGGCATTCTCATGGCTGCCTTGCAAAAAATCGCCCTGCTCTCATCCCCCGTTCTCATCCCTGCTGAACGCCCTAAACCCTAAGCCCTAAACTCGAACCCTAAACCCTAAACCCTAAACCCCAAACCCTAAACCGCAGCCCTTGGTCCCCAAGGAACACTACAGCAGCCCAAGCGGCGCTTCCATGGAGTATATCTCCGTCAGCCCCTTCAGCTGCTCCCCGCTCATGTCGAGCCTGGGTTTAGGGTTTAGGGTTTAGGGTTCAGGGTTTAGGGTCTACTCCCACCACTTTTTGCTGAGACGTGCGACTTGAGGCTTGGCTAGGACTTTGCTGACACCACCCTTCGCTTTCGCTCCATGAGGTTTAGGGCTTGCAAGGGTTGAGGCTTCGACTCTCACGTGCGCACGCAAGCAAGCAATGCACACGGTCTGTGCCACCCGCACTGCCCACGCTCGCGCGCGACACTGTTTAGGGTTTAGGGTTTATAGGGCTTAGGGTTTAGGGATGGATCAGGAAGTTGCCCATGAACCTTTGTTGTCAAGTGCAAAGGCTCGATAGCCCAGACATGAAAGCCTCGTTTGTTAGAAAGGCGGCTCGGCAGTCTACAGCTACAGCTGACGGGCCGACCTGGGGCGCAGAACTCAGTACTCGCCTCAACGCGAGTTCCCCGAAGCCAGGCGCTGGCCATATCAGTCTGACCTCCGCCTTCATTCAGTAAGACATTGGTGCCTGTGCACTAGACCCTATATATATATATATCATAAGCCCTAAACCCTCTGCACCCTGGGTGGAATAACTCAAAGGATCGGTAAACCCCTAACCCCCGAAGCCGAAACCCTCAACCCTCAACCCTTTCAACCCTAAACCCTAAACCCTAACCCTAAACCCTAAACCCTAAACCCTAAACCCTGGCCAGGGAGCTTCACCAGCCCACCCCCTTGGAGGGGAGGGATCAGAGGCACCTCCAGATACTTGAACATACTGGCCACCATGAGGTAGAGCCTCGTGTCTGGTTGGCCAGGGCTTTTTTTTTTACTAGGGTTTAATTGGGGTTAAGGGTTTCGGCGGTAGGCTTTAGGGTTTAGGGTTTAGGGTTTAGGCTTAGGGTTAAGGGTTTAGGGAGTTTCGGGTTGCTTCCACTCTCACATGCGCACACGGCAGGCAATGCAAAGGCACCAAGGTCTCTCACGTCCAAGACATGCCAGGCGGTGACGTTGACCACCGCCCGATAGACTTGGTAGCTCAGTGACCCTAAACCCTAAACCCTCAACATCCCTAAACCCTAACCCCCAATAAGGGTACCCTTCTTTCGGGGTTAATCACTGTAGAAGATGGAACCTAGAACCACAAAAAGGGGCAGCAGGGTACCACTCAGCTACCAAGTAGAAGCCCTTTACAAGTCCGGTGGCAAATTTGGCCGAGCAACGGGCTTCTTCTGTGGGGCGGGGGGTTGGTCATGAGCCCTCGGGGGGGTCTGCAAAGCGTTTAGGGTTTAGGGTTTAGGGTAGTTTAGGGTTTAGGGTTTAGGGTTTAGGGTTTAGGGTTTAGGATTAGGGTTTAGGGTACTCGTTCAGCTCGTTCAATCGACCAACCCCACAGAGCCGCAGATTCCCGTTACAACTTGGGATCTTCAAGGGACTAAAGGAGGGACCCAATTGTAAGGGGCCTTAGGGGGCTCTTTGGGGGCTATTCAGAGGCTCCTCAGGTATGTAGGGACTATATAAGGTGTATAATTGTAATATATATATATATATATATACACACATATACACATATACACATATACACACATACACACATACATACATACATACATACATACATACATACATACATACATACATACATACATACATACATACATACATACATACATACATACATACACACATACATACATACACACATATATACATATATAGTGGTTGTATAGGGGAATAAGATTGGGGTCCCTCCTCATACCCCTTAGATGACAACTCCTTGAATCTGCAGCAGGGTACTTGTAAGAGACGCTGGCAGCACGCGCCCGTGGCTGAAGTCAGTGTTGGATGAATAACCATCAAGGACGGACTCCGGACATCCCCTTCAACCATAACGCGCAGGTTCGAGTCAGAAACGTGTCTGCTGTCGCTTTGGGACGGTTCCGAGACTTCCGGAGGATTCAGGATATCAAAACCTATGCCTTTTCAACGGTTGCCATGCTCTATAGCACAGCGCAAGAATCAAGAAACGCGAAGTCAAGTGACTGTTGCCAGTTGTGTTCACTGGCAGCTCAGGGCCGCTGTTGCAGCCAATGCGCTGGCGCCTGACAGGGCAGTGCGTCCTCCGAGGCTCGTCTCCGTAGAGCCGCCTGTTGTGGTAGTTGTGGCCTTGCACATGTCCTTGGCAGCCCAGTAAACCATGTTGCAGTAACGGTACCCTTAGTTACTTTGATAAGGGAACCAGAACTTACCCAGAAAAGGGCAAAAAAGGGGCACGACGCAGCTACCAGGCGTCGACGTACGCGTCAGAGCCTGCCAGGAGTGCGGCGGAGTTGCCTGTGTCGTCACAGACGGAGTCCAGGCAACTCCCGGTGGTTGCATCCTTCCACTTTCCCACCATGGCACAGGTGATGCCGAGGTGTGGGTACAGGGACTCCACCAAGGTCTTCACCTTGCAGGGGGTATCCGCTGGGATGGATGTTTGGCTCAAGTCAAAGAGTGCATCCACAGCCTCCACGGCGGTCGTATTGAAGTTGGACATGTACCCAGATGCGGATCGCCAATATGCCCAGCCCTCGGCCAGATACTTTGGCTCCATGGTTCCGCCGTTGTAGGCTTTGTCGGCGTACTTGATGGCACTGCGGATGGCGGCAATGGAGAAAATCTTGTACATGCCCAACTCTGCCGCTTTCACGCTCGTGGCGTTGTAGCTGCCACGGAGGTTGATGAGGCCATAGTTCAGGATTGGAATGGAAGCCTGATGAGTGTTGACGCCGTCAGGGTAGTCGAAATCACGCTTCCAGTTGAACTCATAGGGTGAGTAGAGGTTGCCAGGAGCAGCACCGCTGAACCCATCACCCAGCACGGGGTCAATGTTGCCGATGTAGAAAGCAGCACCCTCGTCCCAGGCATAGGCCGCCTCACCATCCGCTGTCTGACCGTTCTCACCTTTCCTTGGGGACGAAACGAACCCTAAAATTGGGGGTCACATACCCTAACTATAACTCCTATTAAGGTATATGAACCCTAAGCACTTTTAGGGCTCATAATTCGTCCCCAAGGTTCCAAACAGCCGCACCGAACTCGTAGGTCGCATAGGCCGTCACAACACCGATGAGGGCCTTGTTCACCACATACCGACGGAAAGAGTCGCTCTGTCCCTGGCAAAACCTTGGGGACGAAATGAGCCCTAAAATTGGGGGTCATATACCCTGACTACTATAATTCCCATTAAGGTATATGAACCATAAACCCTTTTGGGGTTCATTTCGTCCCCAAGGAACGTCGTGTTATCCAAGCACGCCATGATGTAGTTGTGCCAGATGGCGGCTGTCGAGTTGTAGAGGCTGAGAGCTCCGGTGTAGAAGACGTTGGTGTACTTCCCGCCGACGGTCATGTCCTTCAGCGCCAGGTCCTGGAGCGTACGCATGTTCCCGAGGCCCTTAGAGGAGAAGTTGCCCATGGTGTAGACCTCCTTGGCCATGGCGTAGTCTGGCGGGTCTTCCAGGTACCTTGGGGACGAAATGAACCCTAAAAGGGTTTATGGTTCATATACCTGACTAGGAATGACAGTAGTCAGGGTATATGACCCCAATTTTAGGGTTCATAACCCAAGGTACCTCTTGATCAAGGCGACGTCCCGGTTAATGTCCGCGTGCTCTGTGACATCGTTGACTGGGCAGTACAGCCCGTCCGACAGCTTTGGGCACGAGTCTACCGGAGTGCAGGCTCCGCCCTCTGCACCTGTGGCCACAAGTCCCAGAAGTACCAACCGAAGCGCTTGCATGGCTTGCGTTCGGCTCTGGAAGGTCGTACGTTTGGGCGGTGGCAGGGTTTTCCTCCTCTCTCTTGAGCCAAAATTGGGCTTACGATTTCGGCTGGAGCTGTCAGATCTTCAGACACCTGATGTGCAACCTAAACCCCCAAAAGGCAGACAAGGAAGCGGCGCCCACAAAAGAATGGACTGTACGTTGGGGTTCCTTTGCCAAAAAAGGGTTTCTGGTTCAGATACCTTGGTAGAATTATAGTAGTAATTTTCGGAAACATGGCCCCACTTTGGGGGTCCAGTTGGCTCCCAGGTATTTTACATGATATGACTGTGTGGAATCTCGGCTCCAAGCTAAGCTATCGTTGAACATGTTGTGTTCGGGGGTTCATGGCTCATCGTGAACGTCCTCTCCAATATGAGTATATTTTCCCCAGTAGCCTAGGAGCAAGAAGTGCTTCAGTGACTATAGGAATACAGGTAAATCCTAATCAAGGTTCTTCTGCGCGGCCCAGTATGAAAATCTTTACATAGGCCCGACATACCTCAGTAGGACCGACATTACCCCGAAGATCAGGGCCCTCCATTAGTCCCTTGAGATCAGAAGCCCGACAAACCCTAAAACCTTCTCTGCTACTTGCTTAAGAACCCCAAAAGAATAAGAAATGATAATCCCTATATTACCCTTTTGAGGAAGTTTGCTCTTTTTTTTTTTTTTTATTCTTTCGGGTTCTTAAGCGACTCGTAGGTCAGAGAAGCCAACTCGCGCAAGCGTCTAGGGTTTAGGGTTTAGGGTTTATAAGGGTTAAGGGTTTAGGGTTTAGGGCTTAGGGTTTAGAAATTTCTGTGCAGTCCAGCAACAGTTCTGCAGCAGTCCGAAACCTTCCAGGGCACTGACACTGAAGGACTTTCCAACAAACCGCTGACACTGATGGACCCTCCACACACAAAGCAGGGGTTTAGGGGTTTAGGGGCTTAGGGTTTCGGGTGTTTCTTGGGGTTCATAGGGTTTGTTAAGTAGAAGGCGTAGCAGATGGTACGAGTACCCAAAACCCATCTGAGGTCTTAAAAACTTCCCGCACAATCCGCACAGCCAGCAAGTCATGCCAAGCAACAACTCCTGGCTCTTCACCTGCAGAATGCGCCTGCCTTGGGCACATGACATAGCTCGAGGCTGCGAAATCCAAGCCCCAGGCCCCCTGCACAACTCCGAAACTTACAGGGCCGAAGCCCACAAAGTGCCCTAACACCCAAAGGAAAGAACTAAACTCCACCCCTGCAGACCGAATGAAGCCTAAAAAGTTGTGGTTCATATTCCTTACAAGGACTTATAGTAGTATAGGGTTTCTGCCCAATTTTGGGGTTCATTTGGAATTGATAGCATTTTAGGGTTTGTGCCCAATTTTGGGATTCATTTGCTCCAGGGCAGTGGCAGTGCTTCCTATTTTTTCAGGCTGGTTGAAAAACTCGCAAAGCGCCTACACCCTAAACCCTAAACCCTAATAAACCCTATAAACCCTTTTGAACCTGGAAGCTGCTTCATGCCAGGACTGAGGGCCTAAACCCTAAACCCTAAACCCTAAACCCTAAACCCAGAAAGTCAGGCCCAGCGGCGCAAGGAAGCGAGTCCGAAGGCCTCGCTGACAGCCCCGGGCCTGAGTCTCCCAAAGCCACCCGCCCCGAGGAGTTAATCCCGCAATCTATAGGGGAGGGGTTTAGGGTTTAGGGTTTAGGGTTTTAGGGTTTAGGGTTTAGGGTTTAGGGTTTAGGGTTTAGGGTTTAGGGTTTAGGGTTTAGGGTTTAGGGTTTAGGGTTTAGGGTTTAGGGTTTAGGGTTTAGGGTTTAGGGTTTAGGGTTTAGGGTTATGGGTTTAGGGTTTAGGGTTTAGGGTTTAGGGTTTAGGGTTTAGGGTTTAGGGTTTAGGGTTTAGGGTTTAGGGTTTAGGGTTTAGGGTTTAGGGTTTAGGGTTTAGGGTTTAGGGTTTAGGGTTTAGGGTTTAGGGTGGTTTAATCGCTGACACTCGGATAAGCCAGGCGAGGTACACTGCGAAAGGTGGAGAGGTCCCTACTGTGGTACTCGGTGGAGCCTAGAAAACCTGCACCTCAAACGGGGTAAACTGAAGCTTGTTTTTCTATGGGTTGTTTGTTTCAAACCCTCCAAACCCTAAACGCCCTAAACCCTAAACCCTAAACCCTAAACCTTAAACCTTAAGCCCTAAACCCTAAACCCCAAACCCTAAATCCCTACAGCCCCGAAACCCCCAACAGTTTGCCGCGGAAGCAAAGTCTTTGCGCCCCGCGGGCCGGCTGATCTACTCTCCTCAGGAGGCAAGAAGGGTTCACCCCCTTGGAGGTTTAGGGCTTAGGGTGCAGGGTTCAGGGTTGCGACTCTCGCAATCGGTCCACTTCACACATCAGCTCTTCTCCGTGGCCCCGTCTTCACTCTTCAAACAAACCTCACAATATGGGGGGGGGGGGGGGGCCCCTGATTGGGGTCCCAAGGTTATGGGTTTAGGGGCTTGAGTTGGGCAGGGTTTGGGGGTTTCCGAAATCGGGGTACCTTATTGGGGTCCCTATGAAAAGGGAATCCTGCTATTTGGATCCATATTCGGGGACCGCTATGTTCGTCAACCCCCATCTTGACAAACGTACCTTGCAAGGATAACTGGCGTGCCACCTTCTACTCTCCGAAATCCGAGCCACTATCCCATCCCAGGGCATGGGACTGAGCATTTCGTGAAACTACTTTGGGTTGGTTCACGCAGCCTTGCTAACCCTCGGAGCTTAGGGCACTGGGATGCAGAATGACAACAGTAACTACGCAGAAGATGGAAGAATCCTGAACACGCAGCCCAACTGTTGGGGGTTCGAAAGCTACTGCAGCAGGCTAGCCGGACAAGGCGAGTTCATGCGAAGTCTTGGGACGTGAGGCTTCCGATGCCGATCTGACCATCAACATGCATGTGCTGGAGCTTGGAATCATGACCTCATGAACCCCGACTAAGCGACCTGCAAAGAATAGGCGAAGCCACTTGCCGCCGCTAAGTGGTGGCGCCACCCTCTGAGCCTTCAAAGCTTTCTTGGGCCAAGCATCGGCTTGCTCCTGCTGCTGCTTCAGGGCGGCAAGGATGCGGAACTCCTCCTTGACCTGGAAACTGGCGCTTTACGAACCCTACTAAACCCTAAACCCTAAACCCTAAACCCTAAAGAAGTCGAGTTACAGAATGCGCAGATCTTCGCCACTCCAGTGGAGCCAGCCCCACTTCGACTCCATAAGTGACAAGCCCTGTGTTCTGGACCGTTTATGTCGGGTTCTTCACCCGAAACGAAGCCCCCAAAAATCCACAAGATTGAGCCCTAAACCCTAACCCTACAACCCTAAACCCTAAACCCTAAACCCTAAACCCTAAACCCTCAACTAAAGGTCGCCATCCTGGAGGCCGTTGCAGCTCTCTTCTAGGGCCGCCGCCGTGTCATCGAAGAGGACCAGCAAGGGATCATACTGCAGATTCTTCCTTAGGGTTTCGGGTTTAAGGGTTTAGGGTTTAGGGTTTAGGGTTTAGGCTTTAGGCTTTAGGCTTTACAGGGCGTCTAGGGCTTATAAGGCGTCCTGGAACCAACTGGGGTGAGCCTTACCTCAAAGACCGTTGAGGAATCTTGGCGACCAGGAGCTTATAGGGTTTAGGGCTTAGCGTTTATAGGGTTTAGGGTTTAGGGTTTAGGGATACGTTTAGGGTTTAGGGTTTAGTGTTTAGTTTATAGGGCCTCTGTAGCCACAATGCCCAAAGCCAGACATCCGACACCTGAAGCTCCACATGGGCCTCTACAAGCCCTGCACTCAACCCATATCATCTTAGATCCCTAAACCCTAAACCCCAAACCCCAAACCCTAAACCCTAAACTCCCCCCCCCCCCCCCCCCCCCCCAATTTTGGGGTTCATGTGGTTCCCCAGAGTCATGGCCGAGGCGCAGCGCGCGCTTCGCGGCCGGCGACTTGAGCTTCGCCGGGCCGGGGTTCCAGAGCTTCAGGGCATCCCCGCCTGTCGGCTTTTGGGGGGTTTAGGGTTTAGGGTTTAGGGTTTAGGGTTTGAAGGGTTTAGGGTTTGAAGGGTTTAGGGTTTAGGGTTTAGGGGGTTTAGGGTTTAGGCTTTTGCTTCTTGAAGGGGGGTTGGTTTGGGGATGAGGGTTTGGGGTTTAGGGTTTGCGGTTAAGGGCTTGGAGGGGTGAGGGACAGGGAGCATAGGGTAGACCGGGCTTATAGGGTTTTGGGTGGTCTTTTAGTTCAGGGATGAGGGGTTTAGGGTTTAGGGTTTAGGGTTTAGGGTTTAGGGTTTAGGGTTTAGGGTTTAGGGTTTAGGGTTTAGGGTTTAGGATGCAACTCTGAGCTTGGTGGTGTTCCCACCTCTGAGCTCAGGAGCCAGAGTCGAGGAAGGGGTTTCCACCGGGTTTAGGGTTTAGGGTTTAGGGTTTAGGGTTTAGGGTTTAGGGTTTAGGGTTTAGGGTTTAGGATGCAACTCTGAGTTTGGTGGTGTTCCCACCTCTGAGCTCAGGAGCCAGAGTCGAGGAAGGGGTTTCCACCGGGTTTAGGGTTTAGGGTTTGGGGTTTAGGGTTTAGGGTTTAGGGTTTAGGGTTTAGGGTTTAGGGTTTAGGGTTTAGGATGCAACTCTGAGTTTGGTGGTGTTCCCACCTCTGAGCTCAGGAGCCAGAGTCGAGGAAGGGGTTTCCACCGGGTTTAGGGTTTAGGGTTTGGGGTTTAGGGTTTAGGGTTTAGGGTTTAGGGTTTAGGGTTTAGGGTTTGGGGTTTAGGGTTTAGAGTTCATAGGCCCCCCCCCCCCCCCAAAAGCCAACGGTCAATGCAGGCGGAAGAAAGCCCTCTCTTCGCAATCTTGTTTTGGGGGGTGTGATTGGGATGCACCCTAAACCCTAAACCTTAAACCCTAAACCCTTAACCCTAATTAGGGGGGGTTGGGGTTGGATCGACGTGAGTATGATCAGGGGACAGGCTCTAAGATCCCACATCTGAAGTCCGGTACCCTAAACCCTTTTAAACCCGAAAACCCTAAAACCCTAAAACCCTAAAACCCCAAACCCTAAACATCCCTAAACCCAAAACCATATAAACCGTACAAACCCCTAAACCCTGTCAGCCCTTTACATCCGGCCTCCCTCCGCCGCCCGTAGCTGGGCTTCGCCGCCTCTGCCAGGCAGATTCTGCGGCTTACGGTTCAGGGTTTATGTAGGGTTTAGAAATTTGGAGGCCTTTCTTCGGGTTTACGGTTTAGGGTTTAGGGTTAGAAATTTAGGGTTGTTTAGGGTAGAGGGTTTAGAAATTTGGAGTTTTTTAGGGTTTAGGGAGGGTTTCAATCAGCACGCTGGCACGGCGAATCTGCGGCTGAATGTCCAGCCTCTGCCCCATACGACCTGGCGGACTTTTCAAAGCTTTTCCACCGTGCAGCTTACACACTTCGTTGCAGAACAAAGCTTGACTCCTACCGGCAAAGTAGCAGCTCAGCCTCGTCCAGCCATCCATGAGCAAGAATGCCCTAAACCCTAAACCCTATAAACCCTAAACCCTAAACCCTAACAGGCACCTTCTGCCGCAACTCCTCACAGCTTGCGAGGCTCACGGCAAAGGTCGCGGAGAGCGTCTGGCTGCACCGGTATGCCAAATACCTGGGAAAAGGGTGACAACTTAGGGTTTAGGGTTTAGGGTTAGGGTTTAGGGTTTAGGGTTTAGGGTTTAGGGTTTAGGGTTTAGGGTTTAGGGTTTAGGGTTTAGGGTTTAGGGTTTAGGGTTTAGGGTTTACTCGGCGCTATCTCTGAGTCTGAGCAACTGAGCGCAACTGCACTGTGAACCAGCACATCATCGGGACCATCCCCCAGCTGCATTGGGTTTAGGGTTTAGGGTTTAGGGTTTAGGGTTTAGGGTTTAGGGTTTAGGGTTTAGGGTTTAGGGTTTAGGGTTTAGGGTTTAGGGTTTAGGGTTTAGGGTTTAGGGTTTAGGGTCCCTACCTGAACAAAAATCAACGGTGTGGGGGCTGCAGGGTAACATTTTTTCTACGCGGCAGAAAGTGATCCCTTAACCTTAAACGGCTTCGACACAAACTCGAGGCTGCGCATGCCTTTTGTGGCAATGCTCTCTATGAGTGGTTCTCAAAGAGATGCGGGTGGTTGGGTGGGTGGGTGGGGGGGTTGTTAGCAGGAGAAGGTTTTCGAATCTGTCCCCACGTGCCGTCATTTTTGAAAATTAAATATTTACCTTCACCGCCATCAACTCTACTGGGGGTACTTCCTCGAGGGGTGGGCTTGGGGATTTATACAGTGGAGAAGGGGGGAAACCCTAAACCCTAAACCCCTAACTCCCTAAACCCCTAAACCCCTCAACCCCTAAACCCCTAAACCCTAGGGGATTGGGGGGGGGGGGGGGGGGGGGGGGGGGGTTGTTATTTAGGTGCGACCAGGGCCGCAGCACAACAGGAAGCCACCATAAGGTGGGTGACACCTGAGGTAAGGCATGCAGGTTCGAGACCTTCTGGTTGCTTGAGTGTTTAGGGTTTAGGGTTTAGGGTTTAGGGTTTCAAGTTTAGGGTTTAGGGTTTAGGCGTAGTGTTCTATTAGGGTTTGTGTTTAGGGCTGCCATGAAACAAACTGGTCTGAACATTTTCAGTGGCAAGCGGTACCCAGCCCTGTACAACACAGTACACGCCTCAACATCAAGTTCGATTCTAGATATAGAGAGAGAGGGAGAAAGAGCGAGCGAGGGAACATTTTCGGGCCAAAGGGGTAAAAAATTACGATTCCCGTGTCTCTCGCCCCTGGCGCCTTCCTCCAGGGATTTGCCTTCGACGTCGCGAGGAGATGCGCCATGTGAGAGCTCGAGGGAGTGGGTTGGCAGGATATATTTAGGGTCTAGGGGTTCAGGGTCTAGGGAAAACCCTTATTTTCCTAAACCCTATACCATACACCTTGTGGCTTTGGGTGGGTGGGTGGGGGGGTGTCTTTGCTGGGAAAGCACTTGCATGGCTTTATGGGGATGTTAAGGGGCAGCTTGAGCCATCCGCGCGCTTCAAAAAACTAGACCCAAGCGTCGCCTGGGAATGAAAAGACGGCCCTTGTTTGCTTTAAATAGGGGCGTATAAGGAAGCTAAAAAAGCCTAAATGATGGCCTTTTTGCTTCAAAGGGGGCTTTGAATAGCAAAAAAGCGCCCAACAAGAAGGGGGGGCCATGAGGGCCTGCGTACTCAGGGTCCCAGAAAAAAGGGGCGCCTGGCAGAACGCTGACTCCTGCTTGCGCTGTGCACTTTATAGAGTCAAAGGCTTTGCCCTTGGAGGAATTCCTACATGGGCTACTATACCCTATAACCCCTCAAGAAGGCCCTTTATAGGGTTGGTTGGGGGATTATGAGGCCTAACAGCCCATGCTGGTTTTTTGCCACAAGAATCCAGCTTTCGGTCGCCCAAAAAAGTGCCTTTTTTCCTTTTGTGGGCTCTTTGGAGCTGCCCCCCCAAACTCGCGAAGAAGCTTCTGAGCAATCTCCTAAACACCAAATACAAGTACCAAAAACCCTAAACCCTAAACCCTAAACCCTAAACCCTAAACCCTAAACCCTAAACCCTATGCAAATTGGAGGGCATTGGCTCCCGGGCGGAGACCGAGGTGCAGCCACTCTGCGCCGAACCGTTGAAGGTGAGGCCTGGGTGGTCCAGGCTTTGCCTTCTTAGGGCTTAGGGTTTAGGGTTTAGGGTTTGGGGTTTGGGGTTTGGGGTTTGGGGTTTGGGGTTTGGGGTTTAGGGTTTGGGGTTTAGGGTTGGAAGTTTAGGGTTTAGAGTGTCTTGGCGCGCACTGGTGACATAAGACAAAAACAAGGAAGACTCCTTGCCCTTTGGAGCCTTTTTGAACCCTTCTTGCGCCTCAGAAGGAACCCGGACTCTAAAGCAGATGAGAACGGGGCCACTGTGGGATCCTAAACCTTCGACTTCGAATTGGTGTTTAGGGTTTAGGGTTGAGGTTTTTAGGGTTTAGGGTTTAGGGTTCAGGGTTTAGGGTTTGGGGTTTGGGGTTTAGGGTTTAGGGCGACTGAGCCTGGGAGCGGGCTGGTCAACTAAACCTTCGAGCACCCACCAACAGTCCAGGGTTTACTAGTAGGGGCCAATGGGGTTTAGAGGTTTAGGCGGTTTGGGATGTGCCACCTAGGTGACCCTTGGTAACTAAGCTAGGAAGAGAAAGAGCGTGGTAGCTAAGCTAGGAAGAGAAAGAGCCCTTGTGAAAAGGGCCTTTGATTTGTCTACACGGCGTCGATAAGGGAACCGGAGTATACGACGCAAGTGACCAGGGGTGCCACCGACAGTCTTAACCATCCTCCCCAGCACAACAGGTAGCCATGGCAAAAAACCAACAACCCCCACAGAGACCCTGGCGGGCATCCACGACAGGGACTGTCAGCTCGATGTCTGGAGTCGCATAGAGCTCGTAGGTCCTGGGAATAGTCTTCGTTTCGGTTTCAGAGTCGAGTTTCGGAAAATGCCAGGTCGGAACCGAGCCTTCGAAATGCAGCCTTTTTTTGAAAACAAGAGAGTCCAAGCCCGCGGTTGTTTGGTAGACACGCGTCATGCTAGAAACACCTGAATGCGAACCCTCATCAGTCATCTCGACTCGAATTAAGACAGTTCCTTGGGGACGAAATGAACCCTAAAAGGGTTTATGGTTCATATACCTTACTGGGAATTATAGTAGTCAGGGTATATGACCCCCAATTGTAGGGCTCATTTCGTCCCCAAGGTTGAGATGAGTTTGAGGCAGCCGCCCCGTATCTGCCGGCACATCCTCCAAGCGGCAGCCTTCCGTCTCACCTCCAGGTTCGGCGGCAAGAAAAGGATTCGGACTCGGAAGGTTTGTGCTACTTATAGGCGCCTGAGGGTTTAAGGGTTAATTTGTTTAGGGTTTAGGGTTGAGGGTTTAGGGGTGTGAACGTTGGACCCTCCTTTGCTGGGGGTGGCCCGATAAAGACAAGGCGGGTTAGCGTGTTTGCCCGTACCGTCGAGGGCGAAGCTCCAAACGGCACGACAGAGCATTCATGACTTCAGTCGACTGCAAGTCGTCCGCAAGCCTTGTCACTATAACAACATCTTTATAGCGTAATTACTGTGAATTCAATGCCTCTCCTGGATGCAAGATGACCATGCAGATCTGCACGGCTGAATTGAGCAGGGACATGCAGGGACCAAGCCTCCCTGGCCCGGATCGCTGTACTGGACACGCCTCAGAACTGCTGCTTTGAAGCAAGTGTGCGGGATTCTTGCCGGCAGGTCTTACCTGGCCCAGTTGTAAAGATTGTCGGGAGCGTGCGCGAGCGAAGTTCATTATACACAGGGAGAGATCGCTTCTGTTATGAGTTTTACTTCCTGCATTTCAATTTCTTCCATCGAGTGGCGTCCAAACACACCGTGGCGCCCCTTGGAATCAGGTCGAGCGCACGGCGAATGGAGGACCAATCGCTCCCCAACTGCCTCCCTCTCGCTTGCCAAACCTAAAACTTAAACTTCCGAACCCTAAAAAAAACCCAGACATCTAAAGCCTTGCCATGATGCGCAGGGCGCATTCTTCGCAGATCCCGCAACCCCCCTGAAGACCAGCATGGACAAACGCGAGGCCCAGCCCCTGAACCCTGAACCCAAGTCCAGGGTTCAGGGATCAACTCACCTTGGGGACTACTATAATTCTATAAAGGCATATGAACCCTAAACCCTAAACCCTAGACCCGAAACCCTAGACCCTAAACACTAAACGCTAAACCCTTCATTTAGTCCCGAAGGCAGAACCCTCCATGCAAGTGCCACTTCGCGCGAGGCCCCCCGCACGTAAAAGCGCCCGACCACGACGTCGAGCTCCCAGCCTCCGAGAGCCACAATTCCAGGAGCTCGGGGGCTTTAAGGTTTAGGGTTGAGGGGTTTGAGGATTTGGTGTACCACCTGCCTTTCTGGGTATGTCCCAAAATTGTGGTACCCCTTCGCCAAATAGAATAGAATTCCGTCAAAGGGACCGGGCCATCTTTTTTATGGGTTATACCTGCTAATTAAGGGTATCTACTACTAAGCTGTAGGTAAATAGAGTCCCAGGGAGGGCCAGGGTTTAGGGTGGAGGGTCTAGCGTTTAGGGCTTGGGATGCGTAGGGCTATTAGGGTTTAGGGTTTAGGGCTTAGGGCCTAGGGTTGAGGGTTTGGGTTTATGGAAAGCTTCGTGCTGGCTTCTTGTCAGGGCTACAGAGCTTCGCTGGAGCATGTTCGGGGTTTAGGGTTTAAAAGGTTTAGGGTTTAGGGTTGGGCAAGTGTTCAACTTACTTGTTCGTGGCACGGAAAGACGAACTTGTAAGTACCCTCCACAACCCCTAAACCCTAAACAATAAACCCTAAACCCTAAACCCTAAACCCTAAACCCTAAACCCTTTTTTGCATCCGGGCTTGGGGAGTCGGCCGGGAATGATTGACTATAGCACACTGAAAGACGGACACTTCTCTCCAAGACTTGTGCTCGAGGAGACATATCCAAACTGAAAGTACCAGTACAAGCTACAAACAAACGGACCAGCGAATTTACATTCTACGTTCTCGTCGTTTTTGCTCCTTCAGAGCACGCCTTCTGAGCATATGGGCTTCTCTGAATTGTTCAAGGTACTCAGGTTGAGCGAAAGGTAAGCTCATGTTGGAAGAAACCGAAGATGCGGGAAGAGGCAGGTTCATGTCCGAGCTTGAAGGAACCGATGACACACAAGAAGTCTGGTTGATGTCCGAACAAAAGACCGAAGATTCAGGTACACGAGCAGATTGCCGACCGGATTCTGGCGACTCTGGAACTGTAATACCCGTGTCACTCCATTTGGAAGCCTGTTCCGTGGCAGGTACATTCTCCCTGACGTTGCCAGTATCAGTAACTTCCGAAACAACCGCATTGCCTTCCAGACTTTGTATCCTGTCCGAGAGCACCTGAATAGCGTCATGTGCTTTCGCCATCAGGCTTCCAACCAGGCCTTCTGTAATGCGTCTGCACTCATCACTGGAAAACACCTCTTCAACAGTTTGTGTCGCCATGTTCACAAAAGTGCCGAGGTCTTCCTGAGCTGGAGAACAGACCGGTCCGAAATCCTGCTGTTCCACGTCCAGTCCCAAGGCAGAGTAGAGACAAATGGGTTGCCTAGGTCCGCGACACTGTGCTGCATGAAAGAGGGCTCGCCACGATAAGTCTGCAACTTCTTCCAACCCAGCCTTTTGAGCACAGCGTAGACTGTAAGCAATGCACGATGCAAGTTTCCCGGTGGCCTCCATTGCAATACGATGGGGAGGAAACCTAATTGGAAAAGCACTCAATGGAGTCTCGTAGCCAAACCCTTGAGCCAAAACCCTTGAGCCAAAATGGCTAAACCCTAAACCCTAAACCCCTTTGGTGGATTGGAAAATGTGTGGGGGGTATAAGTGGTGCCTCAAGTCGGTCAGGACCCTGAGCCGCAACTAGTCGTGAGGAGAGGGCACGGGTCCTTCCATGCAAACAGATGGTTTAGGGTTGAGGGTTTAGGGTTTAGGGTTTAGGGTTGAAGTTCTTATGCCTCTCAAAAGCATGCCCGAGGTTCGGGAAACATCTTCGACAATGCCCCATCAAGGATATTCGGATATGCACTTCTAGAAAAAGCTACCGACAAATCCTAAACCCTAAACCCTAAACCCCAAACCCGAAACCAATCCTGAAATGCATGTTTCGGCCCTGGGGAACTCTTGCTGAGCCCATCCTGAATTCACCGAGCTCCGCACGAGAATCTTCACAAGCCAAGGCCTTAACGTCATCTTGCCGTTATGTAGGGGTTTACGGCTTACAGCGGTTTAGGGCTCATTTAGGGTTAGGGTTCAGGGTTTAGGGTTTGGGGTTTGGGGTTTAGGGTTTAGGGTTTAGGGTTTATATAGGGTTTAGGGCTCATTTAGGGTTGAGACAAAAAAAGTTAGGCCTTTCGGTTCTATATAAACAACAATATAGAAAATTCCTACGCGCTGAGCAACTGAACAAATGACAATTCCCAAGGGGGTGATAGGCAGGGCATATGAAGGCTCCCGTCCAGTCGGCGCGCCATGCGCGTGAACAGACTTAGAGGAGAACAATTTGCTTAAGAATTCCCCCAGAAAATATAAACAAGATCCCATTGTTGCCCTTGTATAAAGAAAAAGAATAAGAATATACACATATATATATATATATGTATACATATAGAAAAATATACATAGTCAGCCCCGCAGTAAGACCTTGAGCTCATGAACGTCTTGGAATTCCGGCTTAGGCTTTAGGGGGGGGGGGGTTAGGGTGTAAGGTTCAGGGTTTAGGGGTTAGGGTTAAGGGTTAGGGTTTAGGGTTTAGGGTTAGCAGGCTTCAGGAGTTCGTTAGTCAGAGGCGGGATGTGGGGCCTCATTGAGCAGAGGCAAGGTTTGTTAGGCCCGAAAGCTTGACAATAATATTATAACCTAAACCCTAAACCCTAAACCCTAAACCCTAAACCCTAAACCCTAAACCCTAAACCCTAAACCTAATAAGATCCTCGAAAAGCCCCCGCAATCTTGGTCTCTCATCCTGGATGTCGGCAAGATGCCATGCCGGTGTCCAGGACAGGATCGTCGTAGTACCTCCGGTTGTAGCCTTGGCCATAGCACTCTGAAAACTCTCCTCGATCCGTGGTGAGGCATGTTTAGAATAGGCGCGATTGCCTGACTTTTTGAAAGCATTTAGCCCTACAAGACCATCACAAGATCGGCAAGCTCTTTAGTTTTACCACAACACACGCCCCCACACCCCCAGCATGTCACGCTGAAGTGTTGCACCGCGCTGAAAACCCAGCAGCCGTATGGATGCTGCCGCAACAACAGTAGGGTTTATAGAGTTTAAGATTTAGGGTTTTTAAGGCGCTGCGCCTCCAACAAAAGGGCACGACCATCCGTAGCGGTAGCCAGTCCTGAGGCGAGTGGCACGGTACGGCCACTTTCCAACATGTAGGGGTACCTACTGTATGTCCCAAAATACCATCATCCTTCCAGTTGTGACACCCAAAAGGGTGCAACCCCATTTTCGAAAATCTCATGCGAACTCCGGTCAACTTGCGCGCTGTGTGCTCTGCAACACAAGGTGCATAAAAAGATCGGATTAAGTTTCTTGCCACCGGTCTAGCTGATACTCTCGACGCACTGCAGGGCTTCGGGTTTAGTTTTAAAGGCTTAGCCCGAGGCCCGAGGTTTAGGGTCTATACCTGGGACACTCTTTACCTACAGTTTAACGGATTATACCTACTTACTAAGGGTAGCTACTTCTAAGCTATAGGTAAGTAGAGTTTCAGATAGTTCTTCTTGCAACGAACTCTAATGATAAGCGAAAAACTGGTGGAGCACCTCCCTCTAATGCGTGCCGTGTAGGGTGTAGCGCCTTCAGGCGAGGCACCTAGTACCCGCCAGGGTTCTTGGGCCGTCGAGAAGCATCGTTTTTGTGATAGTTAGGAAGAGATTCGAGGTCTCGACACCATGCGGCGAGATCATCCAAAGCCAGCCCATTCATTAGGTCAGCCCGTTCTGAAGAAGCCCTCTGCCTGTTAAGTAGATTTCGTTGACCCCCAAGCCCTGAGATTCTGGAGCGGCACCTAGACACCTTAAACCCAAAAGTGTTCCAAGAGCCCACGCCGTTTTTGCCGGAAGTCTAATCAAAACTCTTTTTCGGAACAATCATAAAAACCTCCACCACCTACTCCTCCCAGACAATCAGCAGCATTCAAAATGGGCATCTCCCCAAGTACTGGTACCCCTTTTATACCCCAAATAGAATCGAATCCCTTTATAAAGGCACACCCCAATTTTAAAGGGCGCTCCTCTTGTCGTAATGAAACCCCCAAATCGCAGAACCTGGCATTCGGAACCCCTTGGACTTACTGGGCCCCCCCTCTGGGCACCTGACAGCTGAAAGAGGCCTGGATAGAGCCGGCCGGTGTCGACCAGGTACCCGTCTGGCCTCTAGGGTTTAGGGTTTAGGGTTTAGGGTTTAGGGTTTAGGGATCTGGAAAACCCCAAAAAACCCTACTCAAGCCGCTCCATGTTCTCAGCATGGGATGGTACCCCTAAACCCCTTGTCTCGGGCTGTTTCCGCCGGGTTGAGGAAGGCTTATAAGGTAGGGCGCCGCATTGAGGTGCTGTGCTGCTCAGCATAGCATAGCTCTTGCTGGGCTTTACTGTGGCTGAAGATCCCCACTCATCATGAGCTCGCGTTTTGATGGCGATTCGGAGAGTGAGTGTGCGAGTGAGAGTGAGGGTGAGAGTGTGAGTGAGAGGGAGAGTGAGAGGGAGAGCGAGGGCCGCTTTAAGCTGAAAAAACTTGTCAACCACAACGACCCTGATAAGGAGCGAAGGGGCAATTTGAAGCAAAAGGAAAGGACCAGATAGGGATGGGTGGTTCCAGCTGGAGGCATTTTGCTTGGCTGGTGTGAGTGCTGGTGATAAGACCAGCAGGACACGGCAAGAGAATTCCAGGAGAAGCCGACCAGGGCTCTGATGGCCTGTAAAGCCCAAAGGGCCCGTATCTGGTGAGATCCTGACCAGCGAGCTCAGATCTGGAGACCTGGGGACCAGATGTAGAAGCAGCTAGGGTAGCTAGGGCAATGCAAACCCAGAACACAAAAGGCTCACGGTGTACCGGTGTAAGGCCTGGTGGTGACCAGGCCAGCTGGGCAAGACAAGGCTGTCACATAGGTAGGGCGGCCTACTTGAAGTTTCACCCAACAGCCAAAGGCAGCGCTCCGTGCGCTTCGAGACCACAAAAAAAGAGAGGGAGAGTGAGAGTGAGATTGGGAGCGAGAGTGAGAATGAGGGTGAGATTGAGAGTGAAAGCAAGAGAAGAACCTTGGGGACGAAATGAAGCCTAAAATTGGGGTCATATACCCTATACTACTATAATTCCTAGTAAGGTGTATGAACCATAAACCCTGTTAAGGTTCATTTCGTCCCCGAGGAATAGGCAACAAAAACCAGGGCTAACATCAAGAACTCCGTGCAGCAGGGTCGAGTCGTGGCTTGTGTCCCCTTCGCACTGAACCCTGCAAAAACCTCAACACCTCAAAGCCCCAAAGCCCCGTGCAAAGCACAACCCTATACTATAAACCCTAATGTTAACGTCGCTTCCCCCATCGTGTTTTGGTCCCCGGGATTTGGAGGGGTCACAAAAAGAGGGGGTGTCAATCATTGGAATCTGGGGGTCTTCTGGGGTCTGGGGGGGGTCAGCTGTCAGGGTCTGCTCTGCTTTGTCTTGAAGGGTTCCAACGAGATCTGCTTCTCTAAAGACTGAGCCTCGGAGCTCTTTCAAGCCAGCTCAGCTGAAAAGTCTTCTCAGCAATGGAACTCTTAAGCCATTTTCAGGAAAATTTTGCATTCCTGGCCGGAAAAATATTGCAGTTGTCACCCCATTATTTTTCTCACCGGACCCCCCTATATAGACTTGTTTATAGATTTCAGCCCGGAAACCTCCCGCAATGGAAGGGAGTCTTCGGCAGGGGCCCTCTGGCCCGGCGAATATTGCAATTACCACCCCATTTATAAATGTGAGGTTAACATTCATTATATGAACCCGAGACTCCTACACCGGAAGACACTTCTGCTGCACAGGTGCGCAGTGGAAGTTGCCGTCTGGAAGTTCACGCGTGTCGCATCCCAACCAGAGCCGAACCTGTGTTTCTTAAGCTGGGTTGCCCAGTAACCTGGGATTAAAACAGGGTGCCTTTTTTTGCTCAAAGGGGTTTATAAGGGAACCTAAACCCCCCCAAAAAGGGAATAAGGGCACACTGGGCATCCTAGCAAGGGGCGATGAACGGAGCTGCCGTAGGTCGGGCGTGTGGGGAGTGCGGCTTGGGGTTTAAGGTTTTTAGGGCCTTTGGGGGATAGGATTAGGGGGACCCTTGGGGACATAGACCCTACGAATAAGGTCCCTGTTTAAGAGAGCCAGAAGAGGGTTTAGCAGGGGTACCCTTTGAAGGCTACCTAGGAGCCTTAGGGCAGCACCTCAACGTCGCAGTTCTGGGGCCTTGGCCAACGGTTCAAAAGGCCTGAAGTGGCCTCTCCCTCAAAAATCGGGGCTTCTCCGACACAGGGTTTGTTCTCGCGAGCTCCCTCATCTAGTCTTCAAGAACTTTTCCAGCCAGCCATTGCTGTGCTGCTTCATGACTGAGGCAAGCTATTGAGGAATCAAGACAGTCACCCTAAACCCTAAACCCTAAATGTAATCAGGGGCGGGCGTGGCTTCGACCTTTCAACCTGCATCC